TAACAATAGAAATTTAGCCTGGGAACAGTTAGTGCATATTGAATTCATATTTAACAGAATAAGAACCTTCTTCATTTAACTTAAAGTGCTGGAGGAAAAAAATGGAGTTGAGTGATTGTCGGGGCTAAGCCGTGTGAGGGACACCTTCATCCTCTCTTGCTGAGCTCTCAGTGTCATGCTCAGCTCCCAGGAGTTACTGATCCATAAACAAGCTTTGTTGGCAGAATATTTTTTTTATTTATTTGCAGCAGATCGATGGCAAAGCCTTCCTGCTCCTGACACAGACAGACATTGTCAAAGTCATGAAGATCAAACTGGGTCCAGCACTGAAGATTTATAATTCTATCCTGATGTTCAGGAATTCCCAGGACCTCACTGAAGAAGACCTCGTCTCAGGCCAGGAAGTCAGGGGATAAGGACGCTCCCTGAACGCCCGCTGGCACCAGGACCTGCGCTGTCTCAGCAATAAGTTGGAGCACATTGATTTGATTTTAATGTCCCCATGGTCATATCCACGTTTAATCTGGACCTTATAAATTGTCTGTGGTTTATATGTTTGGAGGATCTTGACGACTGATCAGGTGCCAGTGACTCAGAGACTTAGGCACGTGTTCGGGTTTGGGTTTGGGTTTGGGTTTATGAACATTGTTATTTTTGGGGGGATCCTTTCAGCTCCGATGTGTTTGCAACAGACAGACCAAAGAAGCCCACACATGCACCTTTATTCTTTTGCTTCACTATAAAAGAAACTATTTTTCCATTTCACAAGCATAAGACTCTCAAGTGATAAAATAATAGAAGGACAGTATTCATAAATACGTTGTTAACATTTTCGCCAGATCTGCCCTCTGGGTGCCGTGAGTCTAAGAGTTAGAGGCTTGGTGCTTTAAAAAGACTTCATGTGAGATTTTGGTGTACTTTACTCAGGAAAGTGTGAATCTTAAAATAATAATAATAAGCACATATTTTCATGATTCATAATTCTCCTTTTTGTTCCATTAACCATTTCTCAGTTGTGCTCCCAAGGCTTCCTAGAGCCTAGGGGAAGAAGAGTGCTCAGGAGTAAGGAGGGGACAGGCAGGGGCACGCCCAAAAGCTGGCGAGACCCTCCACCAGCAGCAGGGCCTCGGAGGACTCTGCACCAACGTTGGCATCAGCTGGTGGGCCAGACACCCACCTGCACAGAAATCTCCCCCACTCCCACTCGCAAGGGGATTTCTGGAGAACGGACCGATTTCTCCTGCGCTCTGTCCGAATCTGTGTGATGAGGAGCTATGCTACCTCTGGGGCCTTGTGCACATCTATACAAACAGAGACGCACCATCAGAAGGGAAGATCTCTAAAGTAGGGAGTTTGGTATCTAATCTTTGTCTGAAAAATTCTGATTTGTTATCAGACTTTATCTGTTTTTTATAAGTGATCGTATCTTGACTTAAGTTGTGTAGAGTCAGCCCCACACTTTTGAAAGGCAAGTACCTCTCTTCTGACACCTCTTACTATTCTTACCCATGGAAACAGCTACAGATGCCCTCGTGGAGGTGTAGATCCACCATTTTGGGTAAGGAGAGAAAGGCAATAGATACAAAAAGAGACTCAGACCTGACTGTACCCATTTGCTTCATTAGGAATGTTACGGTTTGAGTCTGCTTAGAGAATTTCTCAAACTTTAGGTCACTGAAGAAACAAAAATCTTCTCAAAGAGGTGTGCATATGTTACATCCTTACCTACATGGAATTTTAATATATTATTGGTTGTTGTATATTTTGTTTCTAAGGAGTTTTGTTTGTTGTTTTGTTTTGTTTGGCTTTTTGTAGACTGCCACGTGCAATTCAAATCCCTGCTTCTGCTATGTTAAAATTTTAATATATTTTAAATGATAATAAACAGATAAAAGCTATAACTCACTACTTTAATGAATATGTTGTTGTAATCTGTGCCCACACCACAACCTGGAGTCTGTTTTTTCTCAGCTGCAGAGAACAAGAGTAACTCTGCTTGCATTAACTAGCAAAGAAGTCAGGCGTTTTTGAGTACCATGTTCCTTGGGACGTATTTTCTGAAGGAAGTAGGTTTAGGTGTTAATAATTTGAGAGATTAAAGTAGAGGTTTTTTAATTAATAAGAATCTCAAATTTGCCCATTGTATATCCTCCCTGGAAGACCTGAGATTTGTGGTTGTATATTTAATGCATGTAATTTCAGCAGAAGGACCTAGAAAAGGATGGG